ACATATCATTGATTTAATATCTGCCCTCTAGCTATTATCTGTGGCAATATTTCTCGACTGCGTTAAGTAGGTATAATATCCGTGATGTCTTCGTATGTGGCATTTATTGTCATGTCGTTATTGCACATCAGGGAGTCCGTTATATGTTTCTCGTATTCTTGTAGGCTTCTTAGTGTTTTCAATCTCTCTTAAAAGTTTTTCTTGAACTCATACTGTTTTTTTTATTTTATTTTGCCTCTTGCTATTCTCAGTCACATCATGGTCGCTGCCCGTTGAAATCGTCTACATGTTGATGTTTTTCCTTCTATCACAAATCACCTACTTACACATGCGTAATTACCCAGGGAAATTAGACCAAAAAAAGGGCCATATGCGGAATGAGGCCGAACAAGCTGAATTTCTGCAGAGACCTTCGTTTTGATGTTCTAATGGAGCACAAAAAAATCGAATATGCCTACTCGGGTGTTTGCGAAAATCTCGCTTCCAGTGCACCTGACGTCGAAGAACCTAAAACAAAACTTACGTAAAATAGTATTTTCTACAAAATTGTTCATATACATTTTTTTGTCTGACCAACCGTTTTCGAAATATACCGCGATAAAGCGGAAGCGCGCATTCAAAATAGGTGATACTATATTATACAGGGTGTCCCCGTTCAACTGGTCGAAAATGCTAGGGTATATAGAGGAACCATAGAGGAGTAATTTGAGATAGGACACCGATGGTCGGAAGTGCTTCATTTCCAAAATACAGGGTGTTGAAATTTAAATAACCCCCTTTCATATCATCTGAAGGGCTAATGCTAGGCTGTTCAAATTTTCAGGGATTATTGATGTAGGAATGATATTTAAAAATTCGTATGATGCACCCTCATTTTCTACCTGGAACCATCCCAAAAAAAAAAATTGAAAAAAAAGCATTTGTTTGAAATTTTATTTTTTTTTTTGGGGTGGTTCCAGGTAGAAAATGGGGGTGCATTATATGAATTTTTTAAATATCATTCCTACATCAATAATCCCTGAAAATTTGAACAGCCTAGCATTAGCCCTCTAAATGATATGAAAGGGAGTTGTTTAAATTTTAACACCCTGTATTTTGGAAAACACGCACTTCCGACTATCGGTGTCCTATCTCAAATTACTTCTCTATGGTTCCTCTATATACCCCCAGCATTTTTGACCAGTTCAACGGGGACACCCTGTAAAATACAGTATCACTTATTTTGAATGCGCGCTCCCAATTTATCACGCTACATTTCGAAAATGGTTGGTCGTACAAAAAAATGTATAGGAACTATTTTGTAGAAAATACTATTTTACGTAAGTTTTGTTTTAGGTTCTTCGACGTCAGATGTACTGGAAGCGTGACCTTTGACGATATCTCAAGACGCATAAGGGTAGGCATATTCGATTTTTTTGTGCTTCATTAGAACATCAAAACGAAGGTCTCTGCAAAAATTCAGCTTGTTCGGCCTCATTCCGCAGAGAAAGTCAAATTTCCCTGGGGTATAAAAGTATAGTCCAATCAAATGGTAATTTTTTGGTAACATGAAAGCGGTAGAAGGTTTTTCAACGGAATTATATGTTTTCTGGTGTGCTGAATACGAATCTGCAGTTTCCTGTCTCGTAGCACAACCGGCTCAGGCCGAAAATCGCGAAAATCCTCGAAATTTTCGGATTTTTTCTGGTTTTCTGGTCATACCTTGCAAACGACGCTTCGTACGGAAAATGTCAAAGTATTCAAAGCTGAAGAGCATAAAATTTTACGTCGAATGATCTTCCTAACCTTGTTACTAATAAATTTATAAGCTCGCCATCGTCACTTGAGAGAAGGCCAATTTTAATGAAATTTTCGAAAACTGCAATAAACTTACTTTTAGACGACCGTGATTTCGAAACAACCACTCTACGTAAGAAAAATATATTTATAAGTGGTATGTGAAACTGACCCGCCACACTCAAAGGGCAACAGCATAGTGGATGTGTTGGGAGTGAGGGGGGGGGGTCAGGTAGGCAGTGACTAACAACGGCGTTGACCGGTACTGCTAAAAGTTTTTAATGGCTATTGGTTGTTTTGAAATCACTGTCGTCTAAAAGTAAGTTTATTGCAGTTTTCACAAAACTGCAATAAAATTGGCTTTTTTCGACTGACGATGGCGAGCTTATAAATTTAACAGTAACAAGGTTAGGGAGGTCATTCGACGCAGAATTTTATGCGCTTCAACTTTGCATAACGTGACATTTTTCGTACGATGAATCGTTTGCAAGATATGACCAGGAAACCGGAAAAAGTCCAAAAATTTCGAGGTTTTTGGCGTTTTTCGACCTGAGCCGGTACTGCTACGAGGCAGCAAACTTCAGATTCGTATTCAGCACTCCGAAAAACATATAATTCCGTTGAGAAACCTTCTACCGCTTTCATGTTAAAGTATAACCATTAACAATTGAAAATCGCATCTCTATGGTGACTACTCAAAATTAGAAAAATACCCCTTATAATAATATAAAATAATTTTTATATTTTTATGCCAAGTCCTGGTACACTATAACAAAGACGCCGCACGCCGGCAAAAAAACTTGAAAATTGTTGGCGATGCCGCTAGGCTTTGTCGCTTGCCGACAAAGCTAAGCCGCTCTTGTTGACAGTGTGAGATATTCTCTTTAGAAGTGGACAAAATTATAAAATTACACAGATAATTGAATAAAAATCAATTTCAAATTTGAATTTTTAATAAAGGAATAATAGTCCCATTCAAATATTTATATTTGATTTATGTCAATAGTTTAAAACGGAATTTTAAGGATTACCTACTATATGAATTTTGCCCATTTATTTAACGTATTAACTCCACTGTATTCTAGAGGTAAATCAGCTAGAATTTCGGGGCAATGGCGTTCGTCATTTCAGTTTTTATAGAAATATCTGGAGTATGTTTATTCTTTATTAACCAATTTGTTTTCATTTGTCATGATAATAATATTTAGACGCCTATGGATTCCCACGTGACTTCAAAGAGATCAACTGAGCCGCCTTTTTTATGAAATTTCAATTAATAATGGTTAAACTTTACGAAACAGGCACTTTTGAACACCATTTCGATCAGACTAAGGGCGGGTATTATAAAACTATTTTGACAGAATAAGGGCGGGTATTATAAAACTACTTTGAGAGTTAACTTAAAGTTAACTTCTGAAATTACATGTAATTCAAAAAGTTAACTTCAAGTTAACTGTCAAAGCAGTTTTATAATACCCACCCTACATAAAAGTTAACTTCTGGAATGACGTTACTTCTCATATAAATTCCAGAAGTTAACTTTTAGTTATTTGTCAAAATAGTTTTATAATACCCGCCTCAAGTAAGGCACCTTGCCGTCGATTCAAAAGCTACGAGACCTCGTCCCTCCCTCTAGTTGAGCCGGCCGCCACTACGAATAGTACGTTGGTCCGCGTCAGGTAAATTTTCGCGGCCAATCATTGATAGTGCGTGAGCGTGTTCCAACCTGTTGTAACAAAGGATGCCAGGCCATAAGCACAGATCACCTAACGACAAAAATATGTTTTTGTCAATAGTTTCATTTGGAAAAATAAACACATGTGTTACATGAATATTTTTGTAATCTTTTATTTATTAAATACCCGCAAAAATATGTAAACACAACAGGCTGAAACACGCTCACGCACTATAAATGATCGGCCGCGCTAATTGTCCTGATGCGGGAGAGCCGGCTGCCCTGGTTTCGTAGCTTTGAATCGTCGATGGCAAGGATACTTACTTACGCATCTGTATTTAGGTGATCTCTGCTTCTATATCATAGAGAATCTTTACAAGTTTCAAGGTAATCTGTTTTTTTTTTCTATTCGTTGGACTTTTCCTAAACCCACTATGTTCTATTAGTTGGTTTTCAAATCCTCTTCCGACTTTAGTATCTTATCATCTGGTGACATCGTCCTGGTGTTGTATATTGCTACATATTCGAATATTTTTTCGGTGTTCTGGTTTCCAAAAGTCATTCGCCAATCTTCACTTCCGCCCAGAATCCCCAAGGCAGAGCATTTTCAAGATGGGTGAATTGCCAGTTGATGGTCTACCCACCTGACCTGGGTCCAAATGTTATGTCGTATTACCTCAGTGAAATTGACACTAAAATTTTTTGTTCTTGTTGTTCATACATAAGATTGCCTTCTTGTGAAGCTTCATTGATATCTCCATCTCATAATTCCGGAATGACCTCCAGCTGTCCTTAGGAGTTATTGTAATAGACGCTCTTTGTTCATATCCGCAAAACACGTGCAAAAAAATTGAAAAAGTGTCCCAACGGGAGCTAAATAAAATATTTCATTATTGGGTTTGTAGAAATTCAGTAACTGAAAAAGCAGTATGTCATCGACGACAAATGGAAAATAGAAGAGCAAAAATAAAAGCTCGTTGAAAATAATAACCGACAAATAATGAGCTGTCTATATGATTGTCAGAAGATTATTTTCCGTTGCCCATAATTGCCCATTCAAAGCGAACGGTTTTAATTTTCGTGATTCTTTTGATGGCTTTTGCTCAGTTCAATAATCATAAAAATGGAAATCGTGTAATTTAATTGCATGAGCGATGGGTTTTTCTTGTCTAGTTTATGCTTCGCGATGGAAAAATTATGAGTTTATAAAGGCATTTTCGGCGAGCTGAAAGTATATAGATCGAGGCGGATGCCTAAAAAGGTGACCTACATTTTGGCTCTAACTAAATATTTATAGAAATAAATATACATGAGCGTAATACCCGTGGCAGAATAAAAAAAAAATTGCCATTTATAATGAAAATTTCCAAAGTTATGTCTATTAACAAGATAGAAAAAATTTGTATAAAGAAAGCCGAGCACTTATAGCTTGAAGGTTTTTGGCAGCCAATCTACTTAAAACGTCATGTACGTGCTGAGTGAGGTTGACCTAGCTTTATTGTTCTCCTGTGGTTGATGACTGTTGTGATAATATTGATATCTTTTCCAGGTTCTTCAAACAGCTCTGAAGAAGACCTATCCACTCTATCCTCCAAATTAGAAGTAGACAAACAAATGCCTAATACAACCCCAAAAATCATAAGAACCATCAATGGGGCCGAGTTGAACACTAACAATATTATTCTTTTGCGAAGTTCCAAAACACTAGATGGTAACCATATTTTGCTTAGAACCGAAAATTTGGTTAAGAACAATATTTTATTGGATGACGGGGGCGATTCAAAAATGGGTCCGATTATACTCCAGCCCAATACAGAATTTAAAAAGGGAGTTTATCTGCAAGGAGTTAAAAGATTGGGTAAGTAAACTATATAAACCATGTACTTCCTATTTTTGAGACCACCCTATGTTCATACATACTTTAGAATTATGTTGCACAATTAATTTGTTCAAACTAAATTTTCCTTAAAATATATATTTTTTTATTTTACAGGTACTACTGCACCCATTTTTCTCCTTAGCAGTGGTGAATCCGGGGGACATTTAATATTCCATTCCGCACCTGAACAACGTACTCCAACAACAGTACAAAGAATCGAGACCATTGAAGATGGTCAAGGACTGCTAACAGGAGCAAATCAGAGTCTGGAAGTGATAGGTGATAATGAGGCTGGATGTAGCAGTGGAAGCAGTAGCAGAGGACTATCGACTCCAATTGGCTCAGGTAAGCTTACTAACTTTTTGATTAAAACTTCAATTATTCTGATCAAAATTTCCGCATTATCAAATGTTGTAGATAAATATTTTATTATGAATATTCATTGTAGTAGCCAGCCTACTTTTATTTTCAACAAAACCATTTTGGACATATTTATTCATAAACCATTTACCCAAATTAATCAAGTCCTGGTAAAAATAACCTAAAAAAAAAACATGCATCGGCTACAAGTTTACATTGTGGCTCCCGCTTCCGGAATTGCGAAAGCAAAAAGCAGAAAAAATTAAAAATTACAGATCTGTTGAAACGAAATACGGGTTTGACTGGAAACACAAAGCATCTGATATTACACGGCCAATTTGAGCTTAACCGGGACACACGGGCTGATTTTAAAACGAATCAGCGGACGGTGGAATGACGTAAATTGACAATGGCCAGTAAATGGGCACTTTATGACAAATACAATAGAAAAATATTGTTGGGCCAATATTGTGCATCATTTTAATAAAAATGTACGATGCACTTGCGGGCTTTTATGTACGATTAGAAGCGATCGGATGATAAATTTCAATAAATTGGCTTTTATATCGAAACATTTTTAATGTGCTTGCCACGTGTAATTTATTTTAGCGTTGAAATAGAAAGAGTTAGTATGCTGAGATGTCGTTATTTTGTCGAGACATATTATCAACCATCTAGATTTTTCAATTATTATATTTTTTTTCTAATGCTTTCTTAACTAACGAAGTTTCGCAACCACTGTATCTTGACATGCGGCATGACATATTTGCCATAGTTTTAATTGGAGAAAGCACACAAAAAAATAACCTACCTTTTTTATTTTTTTATTTGATATTGGTACAAAAGACAAATTCTTATACTACCTGAACGGTACCATAAGCGGAAGAAATTAAGTGACGATTAGGTAACCCTCCGAACCGAAAACGGACTGGAGTACATTTTCTTGGTAATAGGAGCCTTCCCCAGGTGGACTTTGACTTGTTTGTTCAAAAATTATATCAATTGCTTGAAATCCTAGAATGCGCCGTTTCATCATTAGGAATTTAGGAAAGGCTTAGCAAAGTTATTCTCAAAGTTAAGGAATCATTTTGTATGCACCGTCAACCAGTTTTGTTTTCTCAGCTTAGAACCGAATAAAATTTGCAACATTGCAATTTCTTGGTGACTTTTTTTTTTTTTTTATTAGTTTTTACAGTTCGTCTTTGACAGTTTTGGTTGGTTTGTTGGTTGAAAATTTAAAAATTGTTCGTTTCTGTATACTTTTCGGTGATTTTGTAATGTATTGGTTATTCCGTGCTTATAGAGTTATGAAATATTCTAGACCGCTCTTTGTCTTGTGTTTCTTGAAGGCAAGGCTTGTTTCAAATATAGATGATAGGAAAAAGCCTAAATTTAATTTTTCAAAAACGAAAAGCAACTGCTTATTTCCATAATAAGCAAATATGCTAGTATAATTGAAAATAAGAAGACAATACTTGCAAAACGGTGGGTTTGCTCAATCTGAATCGCCGAAAAAAGGACAAATCATCCTTTGACTAGAAATAATTTTCTCTATTAAAAATTTAAATTAAAAATTCTCGGAAACCCATAATCGAAAATATCCAAAATATCAAAATCGTCTTCAACTGGCATGTCGAACTCCATTTTTTTGTATAGCAAAGGATGAAAAATCTTGTTCAATAGTTGTGCGAAATTAAAACTGGAAAATCCACAGGTTGCTAATAGAATGGTAATCGATGAAAGATTTTAAAATGAAATTGAAAGATATCGAAACTGGAAAGGATATTTTTTCACCTTACCTTGATCTACTTCCCAACTCCACTCAGCTGGCCAGCTCATTCAGGAAGTTCAAGTCCAATGCGTAGGAGTGGAACGAAAACGTCTTGATTTAACCGGTCGCGGCAAACGGAAAACCGCGGGTCTATTTTCTCGGACCACACAAAGCGGGCGGAGTATTTTTGGCAACTGATTTACTTGTCGGCAGTGTAAGGACTTTGCCGGTATCCTTTTTCAGTGTTTAACGCGCGCATTTTTGAAAGCCAAATTTAGCAAAGCCGTATCACATTCTTAGGCATAAAGTACGCGCAATTCAATTAGAATAAGAGAAAACAAAAATAAAGAAAAAAAAAAACGAATCAATTTCCATTCCCAAATAGGATTTGACATCCTTAAATACCCAATTTAACCTACAATTATATACAGGGCACGTAGACGAAAGTGAACAATAGTTGTTATGTTATACGACACTCGTCACACTCGTAAACAAACAACGTCAATAAACCTAACCCCATAATCGCAATAAAGACAGATTTTTGTTTTTCGAGTCGAGGATTTCGATGACTTAACTTTAAGAAGAACTTGAGCAGATTTAATTGGCGGTCATACGAAATTTAAAACTTAAGTTGAAAGGGTAACTAAGTACAGAATAAAGTGAACGGTGCATACGGAATTAGTGTTGTTGAGCCACAATAATAAAAAAACAATGATATTAATATACAATCTTTAGGAATTTAGATATAATTAAAAAAGCACTGAATCTTGTTTAGAATTGGAATCCTCGGAGTTTCATACCTCTTGACATTCGCATGATTCTTTGTGGAGCTCTTGCTTGGTTTCCTTTTGAATTTGGAGAGAAAAGGAGAAACTGCGATATTAGGAATGGCTAAACATCTAAGAGATAAATAACTCACGATACAATGGTAAGAAGCAAAAATAATCGACGAAGAACAATAGCGGAGGCAGCATACTTGGAAGGAGGCAACAATATCTTCAGTAAACCGTCGGTTGAAATTTCAAGAAATCGGAAACCAGTCCTGAAAAACATCACTTCCCTTGAAGTATTAACTAAGAATAACCTAATATTATCATAAACTAGCACTACTACAACACGCATTTCTTTTCTGACCGTTCCTATTTCGCCTTTGACTCCTTCTCGGACCGTTTCTATTCCGCCTTTGACTTATTGTCGAATGTTTTGGTAAAATCCCGATGCTTCCATTATTAGACAGGAATATTTGTTCCTGTTCTTATTGTTGGTCTTTCGGTCGTCTGTCATCTTCTTCCTCTCCTGCTATCGGTCTAAAATTTTCTACAGCCGGCCCTGTTCCTCTTGTTTTTCTTTTTGTCGTCTGTCTTCTTCCTGTTCCTCTTTCTGTCGTCTGTCTTTTTGGTCTCGCAAAATTGCATGCAGCGGTTTTCTTTTTGTCCTCAACATTATTCTTGCTGGTTTTCTTCAAATCTTTTCCCGTTTGCAGTTTCCAATACATCGAGCATCTGGCTCATTTTGTTCCCCCATGTGTCGTTTCTATCATAGACGAAAATGGCTTCACTCACTCATCTCACTCCTGACAACAACCAATTATTACGTAAGCGGGATGGTAGATTTTTAAACTTGAGAAGGTTGTTTCCGTTCGCGTCGCTGGCTGCCTATAAACCGTTTCAAGCATTCTCTAATTTTCTCGAGAATTCCCTACTAGAAATCTCCTGTAACGCCGATCAATAATTCACCGACTCATCTGATATTCCAGTCACTGGACATCAGGGTCAATCGATACGTACGACTTACGGGTTTCAATAGTGTCTGTATTATGTTATACCAATATGTATTTTGGCATAGGATTTTGAATTTATCAGCAGAACAAAGCTAGTTTTCTCCTAATCGCGAAGATGCGCCTCTTGTTATTAAAGCTTTATCCAGGCTGAAAAATGTATGACTGTTTTACTTTTACATCTTACATCATTTAAAGCAGAAAATATTGAAGCGAAATCGGAAACTAATAGATTCTTTTAATTCAATATACATTCACCTAAATATATTAACGGTCGCACGAGAGGTTTGAAATTCAATTACAAAATTATTTAATTAGAGGCATTTTTGTGTGTGTTGGAATTCGTCGAATGAAAGTTGAAACACCATCTGGATCCCGTCGGCTTGACGTACCAATCTGTCGAAACTCTCATCCTCCCCTCAATAGAGCAATGAGTCCGAAAAGGGAATTTCATTTCGAATCGCTCCCTTCGTCGTTCATTGGGTCTTTTCTGAAAATGGTTGAAACATTTCACAACATAATTAACGTCGTCGGCAGTGATGGCAAGAATCATATCTTCTACGTTTATATCTATTCATGGGATGCAAAAGGGTGTCGTCTTCAGATTCTATACAATACAATCATTTCTGCAAAAATTGGAGACGACGGAAAACTCACAGAAGCATCTTTAAGTTGTTGGTGATATACTTTTTCAGCTAAAAATGAGCTTTATTGATACCATCAACGTATTCAATTCAAAGCCGGTGTGTGGCTCAAATCATCCACTAGTGCTCCCGAATCAATGATAACACCAAGATTTGGGGAAGGAATTCTCTAATAAATTTTTGAATTTTGCTTGTTGGCATTATAGAGTAGTCGTAATGGACTTAGAGGTTTTGCATGAAATTAAATCGTTTCAACAGGTCACTATTCTTACAGGTATGTTTACCTTATGAACTTTGTGCATAACTACCTCATTTTTTGGGTACAACAGCATTATCTGTTTGTATAGAATCCACAATTTTTTTATATTGATCTATTCATTTATTTTCATCTTTGAAGAATCACATTCTTCTCACCGTTATCATCTTTGGATATTAGAATATGTGGATAATCCTTCAGAAACAATATCGTCTTGTAAAATTTTTCAAGAATGTTATTAGATCGATCTGTAACTGTATTGGAGGAATTTGTCAAAAAAATTGTTAATGGAGCCCTTAGCATAGTCTTATAGATAGTCTTGTCTACAAATTACAAATAAAGTTGAAGGACGAAATACATATCAACTCCATTCAAGAATTTTATTGGAAAATTTAAACCAGATAAGCCAACGTTTAGATACTGATATGTGTCATCTTTAGGGTAAAAACAAAAATCAAAGAAGCCAAAAAGGGCATACGTTTACAATCAAAAATAAAACATTAACTACTTCAAGAAAATGAATCTGCTGCCAATAGA